GTCTTTCCATACTTTCGTTATTTACTCTAAAACATTTGAAAATTTCGATCAAGTATTGTCATCACACGTGCACAGGTAAAACCTTAAACTGTGTATACTGAACCGTATCTAATCCTGTTAGTCCAGATATGCCTACATTCACACGTGTATCAACAGTTTGCTGTCTTATACAGTAAGTCTACAACAATGAACCCACCAGTTTTAATCAGCAGATAAGTAGAATTTCATGTGCAGACAGCTTTTTTTCTAGATCTTCAATACAAAAGTTTAAGTTTGACAAGGAAACAAAAGGGGGGGGGGGGTAGCACTCTGCATGGGCAAGTTATTCATTTTCAAAGTTTTAAGGACATACATGGCTGCATATTATTTATTTTCTAGGTAATTAAAAACGGACTATTTATTTCTAACATTTTTACATATTATTTATTTCGGAAATCTTTCTTTGCAGTCAATACATATTAATATACATTTATACATTGTAGATGGAATTGAAGCTGTCTTAACCGTTTTCTCGATTGTAACTTCCCTTTAAAAAGCATTTTTACACATTGATGGAAAACTTATGTAAAAAGGAAAACAATTACGCGCACAAAAATTAAGTTATATTTTGCACTAATTGTGTGCACTTCTACCGATTACTTTTCAATGTATTTTTCCTAGTGAGCCAAACACCTAGGCAATCTATATAAAAAAAAATAAAATAAAATTCCTCACAAATAAATATGAAAACAATAACTTATTTTTTAAATCGTTTCTTTGATCATTCGGTCAAGAGAAAATATTTGTTGTTGTTTGTTTTTGTTTTTTTTTAATGAAGCAACACCGGCAAGAATGTAAAAAGAATGGTAGACGAAATGAGAGCATGAGGGATTTATAAAATCAAACTCATTTGTTTAAAAGTGTGATAAGTGAATATTTAAACTAATAATTGTATTCAATTAGAAAAACTGAAAGGAAATAAAAAAATATATGTACGATTATTCTTTAAAAAAAATTACAGAAAGGCCTTTATGGCGACGCAACCAAAATATTTTTTTTCATCCTTGTTATGCAGTGTTTGTTGATATGTTCAATTTATTTCCAAGTTATTGAACCATAAGGTGATGGTGTGCAAGATGATAATAACTAGACAGCTAAAATTATTTATTTCAAAAATTGAAAGTAGTTCGAATACAGAAAGTAAATTAAAAAAGATACAGTTAATAAGACGACTAGTTACATGTAATAACAAAAATACAGCTGTAAAAAGGAAATATTTATAACAGCTTTAACTCAAAAACAACTTATTAAAAATGCTTGCGATACCGTCCTTCCATTTATATAAAATAAAGAGATTATAATAAAGAAATAAACGACTTTATGAAGTTGCCAATCATAAACTAAAGCGTACAGGCTCCGCCCACGTAATTTACATACCGTTCACCAAAGCGTACCGTTCACAAAACGAACCGTTCCGTGCAAGAAGCGTACCGTACCGTACACAAAACGAACCGTTCCGTACAAGAAGCGTACCGTACCGTGCACAAAGCGAACCGTACCGTTCACAAAGCGTACCGTTCCGTGCAAGAAGCGTACCATACCGTACACAAAGCGAAACGAACCGAACCGTGCAAGTGGTGTAGTAGCACGTTTTAGGGTCTGTAACTTACAAATGAATATGACATTTATTAATTTTGAATGAGGTGTCATTGGTGTACGCTTGGGGTACATCCTTTGAATCCTCTAATTTTGTGTATTGAATTAAGCAATAAACAGATAATGATCAATGTAAAATTTTAAGAAATGCACAAAAACCTTATTTTCATTTATTAAAGCTGAATTGGATGTCACTGAAATAGCTCAAATTTATTGGGATACTTAAGGGTATTATTTGGATACCTAGAGTTTCCTTAATTGGGGTTCTTAGTATCCTTTTGTGTATAAAAATATGTAATAAACAGTTACTAAGTTATTTACAAAAGCATTAAAACCATTTTTAGATTTATAAAGGTCAAACTGGGTGTCCTTGGGATATTTTGAGATATTTTTGGGGTTACTCTGGGATGGCCTTGTGGTAACTGAAGGCTATCCTTTTGTTCTTATGTGGGTATCATTTTGTTTTGTGTATTGCACTACATACAAATACAATAATCAGTTACTATGTCATTTACAAATGCAAATATAAACCATATTTACATGTACATTTTTAAAAGTTAAATAGGGTGTCATTGAGATATTCCTAGGGTACCCTTGAGTATTCTTGTGGTACCTTAAGCCTAGGGTATTCTTTGGGTTTATGCGAGTTTCCATTGGTTCTGTGTATTGAAATACACCATTCATAGTTACAGGATTATTTTTTTACACCTTATAAAATATTATTAAAGTTCCTCAAAACTATACATGCATAATTGAGTTTAATTGTTTAAGTATACTACTTTTAAATTTTTATCTTGGATAACTGCTCTGTTTAAGGACAATTAATTAAAAGTGTTAATTTGCCCTTCAAAACCTTTTTTTGTAGTTTACAAGTGCATATAAACTATATTTAGAATAATTAAGGTTGTATATGGTGTCCCTGGGGTACCTTGTGGTATCCCTGGGGTTCCTTGTGGTTCCTTGTGGTATCCTTGTGGTTCCTTGTGGTACCTTGTGGTTCCTTGTGGTAAAAAGACGCACCCCTTCCTGTGACGACCGGAAGTGACGGCTGACGCTTTGAACCCTATGTGTTTTGCCTTCTCACCAAGTTTTATTACTCCTACAAATTTGGTGTCTTACTTTCATGCCGTTTCCGAGATCTCGCTGAAATAACTTTTCATTTTGAGGACAAGAAAACACGCGACCGGAAGTGAATTTTACTAAGATATTTCACGTCAATCTAGACAACTGCATCTCAATAACATATATAAAAATCATTTAAAGAACTCTATCTATAAGCGATATATTGGGGGAAATTCAAAACCCCTATTATGTAGTTTTTCTCTTCAAACCGGAAGTTGTCGTTTTTTGTTTCCGGTGGAACCAACACATATCAAAACTGTGAAAAAGATACAACTATATGATGCAAGTCTTATTCCAAAAAAGAAAAGTTGAAATTTTTGATTTTTTTGATCACTTCCTGTGACGACCGGAAGTGACGACTGACGCTCTTAACCCAAATGGTTTTGTCTACTTCTCCAGGTCTAATACTCCTATCAGTTTGGTGTCTAAATCTTTTACCGTTTCTGGGATATCACTCGGAGAAGTTCTCATTTTGCGGACATTTAAACGCGCGACCGGAAGTGAATTTTACAAAGATATTTGATGTTACTCTAGACATTTGCAGTCTTGATAACATATTCAAAAATCAGTTCAAATACATTACCTATAAAAAATATTTATGGGAAAGAAAAATACTCAAATTATGCAGTTTTTTGCTTATAGCCGGAAGTTGTCATTTTTGTTTCCGCTGAGACCAACATATTTCAAAACTACAAATGAGATGCAATAATGTGATGCAAAAAAAGATTCAAAAAAAAAAGTTGAAATTTTCGATTTCTTTGATCACTTCCTGTGACGACCGGAAGTGACGGCTGACGCTCTTAACCCAAATGGTTTTGCCTACTCCTCAAGATCTATTAACAACAAGGTATTATTTCAACTTGGAATAATTACTTGACATGGATTTCAATTAAATTTTTATTTTTGCTGTAGTTGCAATGTTAGTGATAATTTTTTCATGAATAATATTGTTTTTGTTGTAGAAACTGTAAAAATGGTAATATTTTCATCTTTATCAAGAAAAGTTATGTTTCTATTCATGTTTTTTATGTTATTTATGTTTGTTTGTTTGTTTATTTCATTGTTAATTGTGTATTTGTTTATGTTTTTTATTGGGAAGGGCTTTCCATGTTCTAGTTTGTTGTCACACATGCGCAGAAGGGTTAGTCCATGCCAGGCATGGACTAACCCTTCTGCGCATGTGTCAATATTTTGCTTTCTATATATTCCGTATATTTCTGCGGTCAAACGGCATCACTATGTAATTGTTGAAGTATTTGACTCTATACTGAGGTACGATCGCATCGACATCGCTAAAATTTCCTACCGAGTTGAAGAAATCCGTTCATCACTGTCAGCAATGCGTAACCTTAGGTTTTCATCAATGAAGATTTCACATACCGATTTCCTGAAGAAATACGTCGCGGGGAACGAAAATATATACCAATGCACATTCAATATGATAAATGCAAACACTTACAAATATTTTTACAGTCGTAACAAGTTTAAATCCAACAAATAGCCAGAGAAACGCGTCCAGGTCAACACTGCCAATACACTACCAGACTACACTTGTTCGACGTCATCTTTCGAGGTGCGACGTCACAGGTACACTGTTTTCCCGAACTTTCTGTGGCAAAATGGCGAATAGGCATTGTACGTAATATAAGGCATTCTGTCATTATAGTACAACACACAAACTTAACCCTAGTCATGCTGTATATAATACATAGTGAAAGGGCTGTGAGCTGAATATTTTTGCCTGGTTTTGAAAGAAAAAGAGATGGTTTGTTTAAATGAAATTTATTCAGTAACAGTAATAGTAATATAGACATATTATACATCAAAATGTTCAGCAGACTTTCAGCTACTATTTTAGACATGTTATAAAACAATATAATTGCACAAATTCAGGTAATCATCAGGTGAACACAGGTAAAAACATAAAAAAATAGATTTTACATTATAAATACTAATTTTTAAATCAAAACAATCAATATTTCATGAGAAAATTATAAACTGATAATTAATTGATAATTTTCTTCATTCAATTACAGTACAGGTATGTATTTTCAACAGGTATTTTCAATTTTATCACACAATGAAAACGACTGAATAACTTTAAACATGCAACATAATAAATACAGATAAATAAATAAATAACTTAAAACATATAATACATTGAACACATGGAATGTCATAATAAATAATTTTGGATGGATTTACTGTATCCGCACATAATTTGCACACCTGGACAGGTAGGTTTACTCGTCGATCATCACACGGGTTTTGTAGGCAGCTATGTAGTCCTTATGTGTGTGGAAAAGTTTGAAACAGGGTTCAACACACAAGGCAGTTAGACACTTGTCACATTGGTAACTAGATTCCTTTCCTGTCCTTTTCCTTTTCTCTCCAATGGCTTCAAGTCTCTGCCTCTCGGCCACGGAGCACACAACACACGCACGAGAAATGTTCCTCTTTTTTCCCGTCCCAACGATCTTTATGGGGAAGTGCTGTCCCTGCAATCTCATTATTGGCTCTGCTGCTGTGCTTGGCCTCCCCACAGGTTTGGTACACATCCCTGGAACACAAGCTCTGCTTACGGATTGTAAGAGTTCAGTGACTAGTTGTTTTCGGAAAACTCTGTGAAGCATAGGTTTCCTTGGAGTTACAAATTTGTAGCACAGGTAAGCATTCAAAGTCGCTAGTGAAATCACATGGAAAATCACACGCTTCCACCACTTTAGGGTCCTGGCGTTAAAAGTTGCGTAAGACACCATCTGATCGGAACGATCTACACCTCCCATATATTTGTTGTAGGCATTTACGATTGCAGGATTCTCGATGGGTGTTCCTGTTCTCGGTGCTACTCTTCCATTGGGGGCTTTGGCTGCTTCCTCGATGGTTGACAAAAGATACACAACTTTACGGTCATGGTACTTCACAAGAACAAGTTCATCATTGCACATACTGAACATATCACCTTTGTCCACCTTTTTGTCCTTTATCCGCTGTGGAATTCCTTTCCGGTTTACTCGTAATGTTCCTGTTGCTCCACACCCAAGCACAAACAAGTCCGTGTAAAGCTTTGGTGAACTATAATAATTGTCCATGTATAGAATGTAACCTTGTCCAAAGTATCCTCGCATCATATCCATAACTAAGTCGTATGTGGCCCCATTTGCACTAGCAGGTGTGTCAGATTTCCCAGTATAAAGTTTGAAGCGTGAACAGTACCCAGTCACTGCATCGGACAACATATAGGCCTTGATCCCATACTTCTTCGGTTTATCTGGATTGTACACACGGAAAGAAAGATTTCCTCGCCACGGTACCATCCCTTCATCCAAAGACAGATGTTGGTGTGGACGAAACACAGTCCCAAATGCACAAACAATGTTCCTGTATAGGGATCCAAGTTTGTAAAGTGGGTTGTGACCCGCCATTCCTCGACGCACCTGTTCGTTGTTGTCTGCCAAATGAAAAAAAACACATAAGGAGCCAAAACCTGTCCCTGGGCATCACTGATGGGAAAAACGGTGTGGAATTCACTTCCGAAGTTGTCCAGTATTCAGAAATGTCCAACTGAACCACTAATCCCATTGCAATAGTCATCGCGATAAACACCTTCATTTCCGCCATTGTTGTTTTGACCCAGTTCCGAAATCGAGAAGATGGCTTCAAGTTTTCCTCATTTCGTTGTAGATACTGCTCCGCATAACGATTAGTTTCGTCTGCCATGGTCTGAAAATCTTCATCCTTGATGAATAGGTTGAAAAAATCAAGTGGCGAACGTTGATCTGCTGGCATATCGACGTTTAGTCCAGGCACACCTGTGAAACCCATGTCGGTGCGAGGTCGGTCGCCATCTTGCCAATTTGCCATGAAATTAACAGGATTTTCGTTGTCTTCTTCATCGGAACTGTCGGCCAGATCATCAGGCTCAAATCCCTCAAACTCCTCGTCACTTTCGTCGTCGTTAAATATCTCGTTGAAGAAGTTTTCATGTTGTGGTAAATACGCCGCCATTTTGGTTCACACCTAATTAAACTTTCAACTTCACACCTGATTTAAATAACAACCAATCGGATTTGAACTACGTCACTGAGCTAGTTTTTACCCCCAATATATTACCAAATAAGGAAAAGGTTTTTATTAGACTTTATTTCCATTGGATGTCTAAAAATACGGTATAAAAATAGGCTATTGATCAATATGTCGTCACCCGGAATATTCCGGGTTCAGCTCACAGCACATGCATTCGATTACCGGAATATTCCGGGTTCAGCATGACTAGGGTTAATTCCTGTAACAAAAAGTTTTCTTTAACCTGGGTAATCAAATATCACAAGAGGATGTGAAAGTGGGAAGTGTTTAGTACAGAAAACGGGCTCCAAAGATTTGAAGATCCATGATCCGCCCACTTGTTTCACCCCAGCTAAAAGGTGCACATTTAGTGTGCACATCTCGAGTTTTCAAGTCGTTGTGACGTCACACTCAAGAGTAGCTTTATATTATGACGGGGAAGATAGTGTCCATATCGTTTTAAAAATTGCTTGTATCTTTCAGTTCTTTTTTTTTTAATAAAAAGATTAATAACATTTCAAAATTGATTTAAAGAAAAAATTATTCCTCAAATTACATGCTACAGGACGACTAATTGAAAGGGGGAGGTGTGGGGTGCTGACAGATTTTGGAAATAGGAAAAAAATAAATAAGGGGACAGTTTGATGGAGGGGGCAGGTTTTGGAAATAAATAATCTAACCTCGAAAAGGTTGGAAATAAATAAGCTTTCCTCAACTGGCCAGAAAGTAAATACATGTAATCTGTCTTTGACTGGTGCTACCCCCCCCCCCCCCACCCCCTTTCCCAAAAAATAGAAATTTTGCGCACCATAGGCGTTTTTGGGTTTTTTTGCCAGACTTTTTTCAGCAAAGAAGCAAATAAATAATCTGTCCTCGATCATTTTGGAAATAAATAACTATCCTTCACCGATATAAAATATAAATAATCTGACCTGGAAAAATTTGCCTTCCCCTTTTCAGAATCAAATGGTCGTCCCCTAATCAGTGTGGCGTTGACTTATAGTATCTAATTCCCACCCACCCCCTACCCCTTTATCACTTCATTTTTGAATCTTGCTGAAATACCAAAAGCCATGAATTGAAACAAAACACACTCTACTACTTGTAGACCAGAAATAATGGAAAACCGTGATGGATCCAATCTGTGTGTTTGTGGGGAAGGGGGGGGGGGGTAAGAAATATTGATGTTAAAAAAAAACGAAAAAAAAAATTGTACAATAGTTTACAGTGTATGCTACACAAAGTGTTTTTCCTTAGTTGAGCACAAAACTTTAAACAGTTTAAAGAAGAAGCCCACTTTCCCCGAGTTTTAGGGATGGGTTGCATGATGTCCCCCTTTACCCTATGAGATCTTTGAAATTGCATGGCTTCTAATAAATATTTACTCCTGGTACACATAACTCTTAATAATTTTTAACTTTAAAATTTATTACTGCGACTATTTAATTACAAGAATTCTTAAGTTGGAATATTTTGAGTTTGTGTGAAAGCCCCCCCCCCCCCTTTTTTTTTGAGAAAAATGGATCTGTCCTTGTAATGATTTTTAACATAAAATGCCAACACAAAGGATTAGTAACACTTTTCTTAATATCTGTATTTGATACTATTTATACATGTAGATTTATTAAAATTTCTTAAAAATGAAAACTCTCTCTCTATGTGTCGGTGAAAATTGGACTACTTTATTTGATGATGTGCGTTCAAGATCGTAGCAGATCTCCTTTGCAGAGTTGTCGTTCATTTCTGTCTCTGATGAGTTGATCGTAGCAGCTTAACTTAGCAGCTAGGTGATATATAGTACATGTAAATTTATTTAAAACGAACAGCTCTTCAAGCTGCTAGATGTTAGATTTGATACAAAAAAAAAAAAAAAACAACAACAAACAAACAAACAACAACAATAAAAGACCTTTGGTATCATGTAATGCTAATAATTTTGTAAGGTGCGGACTTCTGAATGCATTATTTTTGTAGCTTGAAAAATAACTCATCTAAAACTCGACCACCAAAAGTTATCTTAATGAAAATATTAACATGCTAACCGCGAGTGAGTTCGAGTCCTGCAGTAACCATCTTTTTGTATTTATCAATCATGTAGTATCGTCTTTTTTTTTTTTAGGTCACCTGAGTTTACTCAGGTGACCTATTGCTATCTGTTTTCGTCCGTCGGCGTGCGTCGTGCGTCGTCCGTCGTGCGTTAACATTTGAACATTTTCAGCTTCTTCTCTGGAACCATTGAACCAAATTCAACCAAATTTGGCACATAGCATCTATATGTGAAGGGGAGTAAAAATTGTGAAATTCATGACCCCTACCCCCCTAGGGCCTGAGGGGTGGGGCTAAAACCATCAGAATTAATGCAATCTTTAAAAATCTTCTTCTTTACTCCTGGGCATCAAGCAGGCAAACTGTTGGCATGAATGTAATAAGCATTAAGCCCTCTACCTAAATTGTGAAATTTATGGCCCCAGGGTCAGGGGTTCTGGTGCTAGGGTGGGGCTCTGTTGAATATGTAGTGAAAAGCATTATTCTTAAAAAATCTTCTCCTCTGCTCTTGGGTATTTAGGAAACAAACAATATGCATAGTTATGATGAGGAAAGGTGTCTCTTCTAAAATTGTGAATTTCATGGCCCCTGGGTCAGGGGTTCTGGTGTTAGGGCGGGTATCTAATGATTATATAGTGAAAATGCATTAATTATTCAAAAATCTTCTCCTCTGCTCCTGGGTATTAAGCCGATGAACTAAGTACATAGTTATGATGAGAAAAAGTGCCTTTTCCAAAATTGTGAATTTCTTGGCCCAAGGGTCAGGGGTTCTGGTGTTAGGGTGGGGCTCTGTTGAATATATAGTGATAATGTATTATTTCTTTAAAAAGCTTCTTCTGTGCTCTTGGATATTATGAAAACAAAATAAATACATAGTTATGATGATGAAAGGTGCCTCTTCCAAAATTGTGAATTTCATGGCCCCAGGGTCAGGGGTTCTGGTGTTAGGGCAGCGTTCTGTTGAATATACATGTATAGTGAAAATGCATTATTTCTATTAAAAATCTTCTCTGATCCAGGGCAAACAAACTGAAGGCATAGTTATGATGGATAAGGGTGCCTATTCCTATGTTGTGAATTTCATGGCCCCTGGTCAGGGGTTCTGTTTTAGGGCGGGGCTCTAATGATTGCATAGTAAAAATGCAATAATTCTTTGACAATCTTCTCCTTTTCTCCTGGGTAATAAGCCGATGAACTAAGAGTATAGTTATGATATGTAAGGGTGCCTGTTCCAAAATTGTGAAATTCATGGCCCCTAGGTCAGGGGTTCTGGTGTTAGGGTGGGGCTCTGTTGAATATATAGTGATAATGCATTATTTCTTTAAAAATCTTTTTCTTTGATCCTGGGTATTTAACAAACAAACTGATGCATAGTTATGATGAGTAAAGGTGCCTCTTCCAAAATTATGAATTTCATGGCCCCTGGGTCAGGGGTTCTGGTGTTAGGGTGGGGCTCTAATGATTACATAGTAAAAAATGCAATAATTCTTTGACAATCTTCTTCTTTTCTCCTGGGTATTAAGCTGATGAACTAAGAGTATTGTTATGATATGTAAGGATGCCTCTTCCAAAATTGTGAATTTTATGGCCCCTGCATCATGGTTCTGGTGTTAGGGCAGGGCTCTAATGATTACATAGTGAAAATGCATTAATTCTTTGATAATCCTCTGCTCTCTTTCTGGGTATTAAGTAAGCTTACTAAATGTAAAATTATGATGAGCAAGTGTGCCTCTTTCGAAATTGTGAATTTCATGGCCTCTGGTTTAAAACATGAATCCAATGTGGCGAAGTTGTTGCATGATACTCAGGTGACCTATAAGGCCCGTGGGCCTCTTTTTTTTTTTTTTTTTTTTTTTTTTTTTTTTTTTTTTTTTTTTGATCGGTGGAGGGGGGGGGGGTTCCAGAAAAGAAATATTTGACACCCTGAAAAGAACTGACAAGCAAAAAAAAAAAAAAAAAAACAAAAACAAAAACAAAACAAGCAAACAAAAAAAACCCCCACAACTGTCCGAACTCGAAAATCCTATGTCGGGAGGGGGGGGGGGGTGTATATTATGCATTATATCATATTCATTATTTGATTATACTACAAGAAAGTGGGGGACCAGCTTTTCAATGAACATTTTCAACAGTAAAAGGTTATGTTTAAAAAAAAAAAGCTGGGGGGCCTGGGGCAGACCCCCCATGATACTACGTGCCTGTAGAGACGAGGAAAATATTTTGTTACGCTTTACCTTAATTCATTTCAACAACCAATGGTTTATCACAAAATAGAATACTTAATGTATTTCAAGAATTTGCTTTTCTCTTAATTGACATCTGTATAAATTCAAACTTCCTGTCAGTACAA